TACATTCTTTTTTATACTAAGTCTTCAAAATCCCATGTACTATACTTGTAGCACAACCCACTTCCCCACTTCAGACTTTTTTTTTTTTTTTTTTTGAGACAGACTCTCACTTAGTCATCCTGGGATTAAGTGCCATCGCATTATAGCTCACAGCAACTTCAGACTCTTGGACTCAAACTATTCTCTTGCCTCAGCCTCCCAAGTAGCTGGGACTACAGGCTCCCACCAACAATGCCCAGCTATTTTTACAGACAGGGTCTCATTCTTGCTCAGGTTGGTCTCAAACTCCTTAGCTCAAGCCATCTGCCCACCTCAGCCTCCCAAAGTGCTAGGATTATAGGCATAGCCGCAGCACCCAGCCTCACTTTGGACATTTTAAGTACTCTACAGCCACCTGTGGTCAGTGGCTACTGTCTTGGAGTCAAACAGCCAGCTTCCTAGATTCTAGGTTCACTCCTAACTATCAGGCTGAGGTCCTGGGTAGGACAATAGTGTCACTAGGGTCATGGTATCCTTAAACCTCCGTAAGGGTTTGTGCTGCCTACACTAACAAGGCCCCTAATCGTAGTTTGAGCCCTCAGAGCCTGTTAGATTTCATGGCACCCCACATCTTGGTCCTGGATACCCTCACGCCCCACCCAGTACATCCTTCTCTCCATCACCTGTTTTTTCTGATTTGGTCAATGTCAGCGAGCAGATCCCAGCATTCTAGATTGCACGGATAGTCTTACATTTTCCTGTTGCATCTCTAAGGCTAAGCGCACAGATCTCTAGGAATATAACTTTAAAAAATGTATTTTCGGATGGCGCCTGTGGCTCAGCGCTGGCCCCATATACCAAGAGTGGTGGGTTTGAACCTGGCCCCAGCCAAACTGCAAAAAAATAGCTGGGCGTTGTGGCGGGCGCCTGTAGTCCCTGCTACTTAGGAGGCTGAGGCTAGAGAATCGCTTAAGCCCAAGAGTTTGAGGTTGCTGTGAGCTGTGACACCATGGCACTCTACCCAGGTGACAGCTTGAGATTCTGTCTCAAAATAAATAAATAAATAAAAAATTAAAAATATATTTTCTAGCCGGGTATAGTGGCTCACACCTATAATCTTAGCACTCTAGGAGGCCAAGGCAGGTGGATCCCTTGAGCTCAGGAGTTCAAGACCAGCCTGAGCAAGAGTGAAACCCCATCTCTAAAAATAGCCATGTGTTGTGGTGGGCACCTGTGGTCCCAGCTACTTGGGTGGCTGAGGCAGGACGATCTCTTGAGCCCAAGAGTTTGAGATGGCACTCTACCAGGATGACAAAGTGGGATTCTGTCCAACAAATAATAAACAAACAACATATTTTCTGCTTATAAAAGCAACTCATTGACATTACCAAGAAATATAGAAAGTAAAACAGCAACAACAAAAAGGTATAAATCAAATGAGTCAGCCTCTGTTACAGGGGTCATTGCACCATAATCACAGAGAAGATGATTTTGAGATATTCTATTTTCTTCACCTTCCCCCAACATACATACTCAAAGTGATAGTGGTTTGATCCCACAGTTGACACACCTGTACCTGTACTGCTTGTTGAAATAAAGACCTGCAGAACCTACAGAGTAGAAATGGCCCTTGCCCCTGAATGGCTCCTGCTGTCCTGGCCCCTCCCCCCTCAAAGCAGCAACTAAAGGGTTAATGTGGCACAGCTGAGTTTGCTCTGGTTGCTGGCTATCTCCCTCCCACCTACCATGGGCCCCTCAAAGACCAGGCCAAGTCCCAGTCTTCCTGCTCTCCTCCTCTCTGGTGTGGATCTGGTCATGCCAGAACATGATCCAGGACTGCACAGACCCTGGCAGAAGCCTCAGGGGTCCCTGGGGTGGGCTTGGCTGGCTGGTCAGGCCTGGAGTTCTGGGCCCTCCTGGAGAAATGCTTCCTAGGGACAGTCTTTCTGGGAAAGCCTCAGAGCCAGTCCCAGGAGATGGAGGCTTTCCCCCCAACAAACTTATGCTGCCTCACTGGTGACAGCCAGAGAATGGATACATGGTGAACCAACAAGGGAGGGGGACCCATCAGGTCTGTGCCAGCGTCATTTTACAGAGGCAGGAACTGGGACCAAGGAAAGGCATGGGGAGCAGCTTGTGGGTCCTAACCAGTGGCACAGCCTGTGGTCACAGCTGGCACGTGCTGAGCTCTTACTGTGTGCCAGGCAACATTCCAAGTGGATCATATGTGTTAACAGAGCCACCATCTAAGTGAAGTTTGTCACTGATCCCCATTCGCAGATGGAGAAAGGAAGCACAGAGGGCAGGAGTAATTTACTTATGCTCATCCAGCTCATGAGTGGATTGAGTTCCTGCAGGCTGGCTTCAGGGTCCACGTTCCATTCAGGCCATCCTACCCTCTCCACTCCCTAGAAGCTTTCTTCTTCCCCTCCCAGGACCAGCTAGCAGACTTCTGCCCCCATCTGCCTGTCTGGAGCCCTGTCTGCAGTCAGGGCCTGCCAAACCGCTCTCGCCTCTTTTGGATCATAGACCCCTTTGAGACCACGCCAAGGGCATAGGCCACATACATGTAGTTTTGCACAATTTTAGCAGAGGATTCTTGAGCCCCCAAGAGCCCACCTGTAATATTTTTAGATTAGGAACCCTCAGCCCAATGGCCTATATTCCAGGACAGTCCTATGCTCCTAATTCAGGTTATGAGATACAGACTGGCTCCAACTTCATTCATTACCAGCTCCTGGATGGGCAGAATCAAGCTGGAAGCTTGAGTCTCTCCTGTCCAGCCACGTGGGTGCTCTCCCTTAGGCTCTGGGCCAGGGCTTTTGCCTTCTTCCAGCAGGGGCAAGGGGCTGGGTGAACAGGGAGAAGTAGGAGGACAGTGCTCTGTGTGGGTGTGGGTTCACATGCATACACCTGTCCCTCAGCCCTGCCAAGTCAGGGTGGGCGGGGAGCTGGGCCAGTGCCTGAGCCCTGCCTGACACTGTCCTGGGTGGCCAGGCCCTTCCCCTCCCTGTCCTCTCTTCCCACAGTCAGAGGGCACCTCCCAGGCCAGACTACCCCAAGGGTAGCGGAGATGTGAGGCAGCAGTGCCCAAGAAGCCAGGTGACAATTCCCACGAGGGCCGTTGAACTCTGTGTGGGCCTGGGCCATGTTCTGAACGCACCCTCTCTCTCAGTGCCCTACATAAGCCTGCCAGGCGACAGGGCTTGAGGAGGGAGCAAGATGAGGTGGGGGAAGACAATGACAGGTGCTTCTGCCCCCTTCTCGGGAGTGTCCTCACTCTGTGCTGAAGATGTGAGGATTAAGAAATGCTTTCTCGGCTCGGCGCCTATAGCTCAACTGGCTAAGGCGCCAGCCACGTACACCTAAGGTGGCGGGTTCGAATCCCCAGCCCGGACCCGCCAAACAACAATGACGGCTGCACCCAAAAAATAGCCGGGCGTTGTGGCGGGCACCTGTGGTCCCAGCTACTTGGGAGGCGGAGGCAGGAGACTTGCTTGAGCCCAGGAGTTGGAGGTTGCTGTGAGCTGTAATGCCACGGCACTCTGCCCAGGGGGACAGCTTGAGGCTCTGTCTCAAAAAAAAAAAAGAAATGCTTTCTCAGGCATCCAGCAACCAAGGGCCAACTGTGAAGAATAAGAGGACCTTGGTATCCCTCAGTGGCTAGGACAGACCTGGTATTGATCTTTGAGTACCAGCTAGCTTGGTACCTGGGCTGCCGGGCTGCGGGGTAAACTGAGGGCCAAGTCCTTCCTCCCCATGGGCCTCTGTCTCTTCCCATCAGTGGGGGTCACACTGGATGGTCACCAAGTGTCTACCCAGTCATAACGTTCTGTGTTAAAATGACTCCCTACTGGAAGAGCAGGAGGTGTGATCAGCTCCCTTGAGGGTCCCCAAAGAAGCCAGACCCTTGCTGACACATAGACCACTCCTTGAGCTCTG